TTTTTAACTAAAATAATCTCGCAATTTGTTCTTAAATTTCAGTCTCGAATCTAACGACCTTAGTTCAGCAGGCAGGTTGTTGAAAGTCTTTGCTCCTTGGTAATAGAAGCTCTTTTTACCAAATTCTAAACGTACTTTGGGTAATTTCACTGATATACCGTTATTCCTAGTGGCCTTAGAATGAACCAGTCTTTCGAAGTAGTTCTTAAAGGGTGTGCAAACATTATTCAGGAGACAGTCGAAAACAAACAAACAGCTTTTACGCTTGATCAAATTGTTCACGGATGGGGGATTAAAAGAACTATTGCCAATAACTTTAAAGCCTCGTCGTTCGATGTTCTTTATCATTTCCTTTCGGTAATCCGGAAAGCTAAGACCAAGTGTTCCGCAATAGGTAAAAATAGGTGCGATCATAGTGTTATAGATCGATTCTGCACACTTTTGGTCGATCAAAGGACGAATTGATCGCAAGAGATTAATTCTGGTTGCAGCTTTTTTATAGATTCGGTCAAAATGTGATGCAAGGTTTAGTGATGAGTCAAGGTGAACACCTAAGTACTTATAGGTAGAGGTGTTATTGATGAGTGTCCCATTAACAGAAAGTTTAAGTTCCTTGTCTTGAAGGTTGATTCTTTTAGCTGTTCCAAATAACATAGACTCCGTCTTGTCCTTTTTTAGGTTAATGATCAGTTCGTTGTCTTTAAACCACTCGCACAGGTTATTCATATCCTCGCTAAGGCTTCTCTGTATAGTATCAATATCTTTAGAAGAGGTATAGATGACTGAATCGTCGGCATAAGTGATAATCTTCGAGTGTTGAAGCGGTTTATGTACATCGTTGAAAAAGATAATGAATAAGATAGGACCCAGGATACTTCCCTGAGGAACACCTGTGAGAATGGGTTGAGGTTCTGATAGCACGCCTGATAGCACGCCAAACCATGTCATTGGGAGATCCTAGAGTTGTCGAGGGGTTAAATGCCCAGCCTTGTTTCTATCAAAGCGAACATTTTTTATCTTTAAGCAACCACAACAACAGCGTGCTCAACAAGAACGTTAACAAAACATGAACAAAGAATTGAGAATCCCTCATTCATGTATCTACCGTGGAACCTCGATGTAACCAACCTCTGTATAAAGACCATTTTCTTTAGCCCAGGAAAAAATGTACAGTAAAATCTCGATTTAACCAACCTCCGTTAAACAAATTCCTCGTTATAAGTCAGGGGCACCCAATGACTGTTTTCTGAGAAATGATCTGAAATGCCTCTTTATGCCGCCGGGAGCACTTTAAAAGTAATTATAAATGAATTATTCGAATTCGCATTGCAAGAAAAATTTGATCTGTTGTCTTCCTAGGAATGGTTTGAGCCTCTCGAATTTGTCAGGGATGTTGTTCGCCTTTCCCGAAAATAACAGCCAAAAATGAAAGCTTTAGGGGTCCTTTCATTTTTTTCCCGAAAACGATATCTTTGTGGGAACATCTTCGAATTTTCTAGGGCGACGTAGCATGTATAGAAAATTCTAGGAAATAAAAAAAAGAACGGTTGTCAGGGGATAACTTAAAAAAAAAACTCGACCTTGATGGGTCGACACCTGAGCCCACGATACGGTCAGGTGATATTGATCAGCGGATACCCTGTTTTGACAGCTGTTACTTGATCACAACATTGGTGTGCAATTAGCTTTGTGCTGGGCTCCCAAGCTAGCTAGAAAGTGTGAGAGTATAAATTGGTTTCTCTGTGGTGCGGACAGGGGCGGTCGGTCGGTGGTTGGTCGGTCAGTGTACGGTCACGTGATTACCGAATTTTCTTGGATGGTTAGGGAGCTCAGCTATTAATTGAATTATAAGTAACTAACACAAAGGCCATTTCCACTTGATATTCATTAACGACTTTACAGGGTTGCTAAAAACTGAAAGGTGAGAAAAATCTCAAACGTAACTAATATAGAAAGTTACCGCATAAAAACATAAGAAAGGAAGGCAAGGTCTTAGGGAGGTCATCACTTTAAAAGGAATTAGGATTTTGGTTTTTCTTTAGGTCTCCCCGCGCTTTGTAAAACGCGCAATCGTTAGAGGTGTGGACCTAATGAGCATCTCCCTTTCCTATCGGCGCTTATACGAAATATAGTCCAAAGAGTTAAAGTATTTATTCCACACGTCACTCCCCTACGCTTCCCTAATGAAACCTTACTGGAGAACAAATTTACAAGAAAAAATCTCTTGGACCTCACCATGGTAGAAAATACATTAAAAATAGTATACCTTGAAATTTTCGTCATAAATGCTAGTGACTGAAAGGAATCATTTCTAGCACCGCTCAAAACAAGACGTCGCCACATCCATCGACACATTTTCTCGCATGCTGTTTTCCTGTCCGTCCCATGTGGAAATATCTTCAGTATACCCTTCCCTTTACCGCCAATTACTCCAGGAATCGGATGAGTGTCCAGAATGAAGAAACATCCATTAATAAAGCCAATAGTGAAAATAACTGTGTGGCAGGTGTACAACCCAAAACTGAAACTACCCTTGGACAGCCTAGAGGAAACAGCATGCATCAGCTCTTCTCTCCTTTCCAAGAAAAGACATAATCTCCTGTGAAAAACTCTTCTGAAAACTCGTACTCGTCAATTGGAACGCCAATGTTCTTTATGAGCTTGTAGGCTGACTGTTCATCATAGAATTATTCTAACTTCCTGTGTGGTTTAATAACACGAGGAAATTCCGTAATTACCCGTTCTGCTACGTCACAAATGCATTGCCACACCCCAATTTTTCTTCCTTTTTCTTCCTGGTACAGACAGTGAATTTTATCTGCAATTTGAACACTGAGGAAAGCGCAAGCGTTACTTCCATCATTATCGGGGTAGGAGAATTCAGGAAAATTGCTATCATTTGCTGCGAGTTGGGCTACGTTACAGTCAAAAACCTCCAATGCTTATGCTTGGCTAACTTTTAAATGGATATCCATGGTGGAAGCAGAAGGTACTTGGCTGATCACCTGGACCACTTTATCAATATTTGGCCTATTTTATGGACTAAACTGAATACAGTCCTTGTAAATTCGTTGTATGTTATACCAATCAGTTGCATGTTTGTGCTGGTACTTGAGGGGCACGATAGGAAGCTTTTTGTCGGCCAAAATGGCCTCTAGAAGTTGAAGACACGTTTTCCCCTTAGCCATGGCGCGCTCAATTTCCCTGTGATATGGGTACTTCGCAGAAGGATTCCGTAAAACAGATAGACTCATTCCCAGTGCCCATATATCAGCCTTCTTCATATCTTCAATAGTGGCGACTGACAAACGTGTCTTGCCCACCAGAATCTCCGAGGCCTGATCTACAGGGGTGCCACGATTTACGCGGAGAGTATGAGAATTTAGAATTGACTTTGTCTGCATCTCACTCGACCGACTTTCACCGAAGTCTGCCAATTTACAAACCATGGGGCACTCGATCCACACTTTTCCGATTTCTTCCTTTGTCAGCTGGCAATAATGTTGGTTGCTGACTAAAACATTTGCCAGCTTTAAATCCCTGTGTGCAACATTTCTGTGGTGAAGGTATTGCAGTCCATTCGCAGTGTCTTTGCATATACCGGAAAAAATACGTGTCGTCAAAGCCTGCACAGTCATAGTCGTTGAGTGTGGCAAGAAAGCCGGATAGGGAGCTCACTCTTGAGTTCATTCCAAAGGGCATGAAGTCGAAGTAGGCATATTCCATAATTAGGGCTACTGGTGTGGGGAGCAACTTCAGAATACCCGTCCACATCATTTACATGTGTCGGGAGACTTTGAAGAATGAAGCATAACACGATAGATGCTATTCTTATTGAATGACATGTAAATGAGTGGCCGGGTATTCTGAAGTTTAGCCAAATTTTTCTTGTCTTCGAGGTCCTCACCAAGCGCCATTTTAACGACAACTTTCTCCGGCGAATTTCCGCTGCCTCGTGGGTAATAATCTGCCGTAAAAACAGCGTTATAACCGCCTTTCCCAATTTCCTCTTTGTTAAAAAACTTTTGAAAATCAAACAGCGGTAAGTCAGAGACATCGATAACTTTAGGCTTCAGTAACGGTAACGCAAACGTCATAATCATCGAGCTGTATGCAGTCAACACATGGATCGAAGTCCGTAGACGTGACCCTTTAAAACCCACTGGAGTGATTGACGGGGACTATCGTCATATATATTTTTGGATTCATTGTTAAGGAGAATTTTTAACAAACAGTTGCGACAGACAAACCGCTGCCCCCTGGGTGTTGGGACAGAAACCTTTGTCCGATGATAAGATCTGATGTTTTCTTTCTAGAAAGGCCCTGTTTATACTATGTAAATTCAATTCGTACCTATGTTTATTCAAACATTTACCTGAGGACAGACATCCTAGAAAAAAAATGTAGGGTTTATCTTCAGGGGCCGTGTTGTTTTTTTTACACTCCTTTGGTGTCTAGGAGTCGTTAAAAGCAGTTTCCAGCCGTTTCCGAGTGATTTTGAGGGGGTCTTTGTTTTCTACACACCGTGGGGGATGTGTAGAAAACGAAGACCCTGGTCGAAATTCTTTATAATTGAACATCTTCAGGAGCCATGTTGTTTTTTACACTCCTTTGATGTCTAGGAGTCTTTAAAAGCAGTTTCCAGCCGTTTCCAAGTGATTTTGAGGGGGGGGTCTTTGTTTTCTACACACGGGGGGATGTGTAGAAAACGAAGACCCTGGTCGAAATTCTTTATAATTGAACATCTTGTCTTCTTTACACATCTGAGGCCGAGAAACCCGTCTCTAGATTTTTATGAGTGATTTTGAGGGGGGGTCTTCGTTTTTGGGTCTTAGGTCTTAGGTCTTCGTTTTCTACACACCCCATGCAGAGTATCTGCATGTAGTAATTTTAATAACTAGGCTGGTTATTACGTTCCTTAGCTCATTTCTGTTAATCCAAGGTATTACCTACTGGCTACTTATCTGCAAAAAATGCTGTTGGGCAATACAAACAACCAACATACCCAAACTCTGCCAAAAGATGCAGATTTCAGGAAGGAAAAACAAAGAGAGACGTCAGAACAATGGTGGCAGCCATTGCAGAAACGTTGACTTCGAATTCTCGCCTCGGAATATACTAGGCTTCGTGGCTTCGCCTGGGCAATAGTTAAATAAAAGCGAGTCGTCTAATTTCGCTGCAAGCGGCGACCTAGCGATAACATTAGTGTTTGTAAACATCGTTTACTCCGCCATTTTGAATTCTCAGGTGGGTTACCGCTGTACACCCGTTCCCCGTTCCCCGTTCCCCGTTCCCCGTTCCCCGTTCCCCGTTCCATTTTATTACACGACTCGGGCAGTCAGAGGGCCAATAACTAAAATCAACCAATCAAAATGCTCTATTGCCGGTCAATATTCTCTCAGTATTGGACCGGGCACTGTCCCGAATGGTCCCGAATGATACCGCACTTGTGTCCCTTTGAACTTCAGTCGTATAATAAATCTCTTATTAACCAAGCTTGCTCGGGACCGTACTGGAAGAATATCGGCCCTCGGTCTTTTTTGTACGGACCTCGCTGCGCTCGGTCCGTACTGTCAAGACCTCGGGCCGATATTCTCCCAGTACGGCCCTCGCGCTTGGTTAATAAGATCTATGTATTGTTTCCAGAAAAAATGTCTTCATGCTTAGAATCATAACTTGTATGGGCGACCATTTGTTATTTTTTCCTTAAACAAAAACTCACTGAAATGTAAATAATATTAGTATTTCTTTAAAATCCATCGAAAAATATCAGCAAAATACAATTGACAAAGTACTAAGAATGTCAAATTCACAATATCTATCATCTCAAACAAAATCCTACAACTACAGGTCATTAGATATTTAATTCAAGAAGACAAGATATTAAAAAGAATAAATCACAAGGATACAAGATACCCAAACCACTTCCTTTTCCCCCATCCCACACCTTCTGCCTCCCTTGCCAGAGAAGACCTTTCGTCCAACACACAAAAACCTCAAGGGGTTTTTTGGAACAAAGTTTCCACACATTAGGGGCTAAAAGCTGACTGACAGTATTAAATCTGACAACCAAAGGTTTTCAGAAAAGATCTTTCAAAGGTGTACAGCCGCGAGATTTTTATTTCCTTTTTTTTTACGTATGATGCACGAATATATGAACTTCATATATTCATTGTATTCCTTTTTTTTACTTGATCATTGGTAAACTTCCTTCTCAGTGGGATCACTTTTTCACTCCCAGTCATATCCAGGGGTTCAGTTCCCGTGAGGGCCTGGGAATAAGTTCTTTTCTAGGAAATGTTTGAACAAACATAACCTAATGTTCAAGGGTCGTTTGAGAGGCATTTGTTCCACTGAGATCGAGTTACCGCCTTGCTCCTTTCAAAGCAACCTTCCAGGTCAAACTCAAAGATAACGATACCTTGATCATGTTAACACAATTCCTTGTGGCCTCGGTTTTTTATATTAATTTGTGCAGCGTCGAATTACATGTGCCAGGTAAGCAAATTTTGGATCGTTATAATCCAGTGTATAATTCATAGTTGCATTGAATGCATCAAGAGCTGAACTCACGCTGAGTGCAAGTAATGCTCTGAAGAACTTATCAAATTTGCTCCATTTCGACCCTATAGGGGGCATAATAAAGGCATACGCGTTAGATAAATCATAGCAGAGTGCATTTGGTCTTGACTTTGTCGAAATGCCTTTCGAATTCGCTCAGGTTTAATGAAATCGCAAACTCATGATGCTGACAAAGAGAGAAAGCATTCAAGCGAGAGTTGATAGAAGCCAAGGTCGAGCAAACGTAAAGTCACAGCCAAATATCAATTTATTGAGGACATCATTTTGACTGGAATAGCATGTTTGTTTGCTTGGCGGCCCATCTCAACCTCGCTTTTCAATGGGTCCCAAGTTTGACCAAGATTAAAATATTTCTATTTGAAACATTTTACGTAATGTATCACGAGCAAATCATGATGTTTGATTGCTTAGCAACTCCGAGTTGCGTGCAATAAACAAGACAATGATAAAAAATATTCGATCTTTTTACCAGGTTCAAAAAGTCGTCGAAACTCATAAAACCGCTCTTTAGCCTGTTGCTCTTGTTGAAACATTTTCGGCGTCACCACTATTTCTTTAGACCTTAGTCTAAATGTTGACAAATTATATATAATACATAATGTTAATCAAGTACAATTTTAGCCGATTTCTGAGAAATGGCCAAAACCAGTTTCGCTACTTATTTAGAGGGGAATCACTAACTCCAGTATATCCAAAGCAAAATGTTTACAGGAACTCTGCTTCAATCCATTACAGTTACCACAGTCCAATGCAATCAACTCGCGAATGCGCGAAAACCAGACTTGTTGAATTGCCTTTGTTAGTTATAGCTTTTTTTTGTTTTTTGTGACATCTAACGGCAATGGAACAGAGATCGAAAAATCGGATGCTTCTAATCATCGTTTCATGAACTTCTACTCCGTATCAGCAATTCCAATTACATTTTTTTCCATTCTTTTGCTTCAGGGAGGGAAAAACGAATGAGCTCACTTAATTGTAACTGACTGCTTTCTCTACGAAGTTTTATAAATTCTCAGAAAATGGTCTTATCCGTCAGTCGCGAAAGAACCGGCTGATTCTCCCTAGTTATTCGTACACTGGGCTTTAAAATTACCATTTGACTGAACCTTTAGTCAGGCTTTCCCGCTTTATCGTCCAGTTCAGTCTTGTTCTCTCGGACACGGGGCTCCTTAGACGAACAGACCGCAACCGCTAAAGCAAATCGACATTTTGACATACCGGGAAGGATAATTTTACATCATGCAGTGCATGATGTAAAATTATCTGGATGATAATAAAAATAGCAATGATCCTGGATGATAATAAAAATAGCAACAACAAAAAAAAGGAAAAATAAAACCCGTTCCCTATCAGTACATGTGTAATTTGGACCGATTTTAAAATACATGTAACGGTTCGAGAGCTTCGTCGAGCACAATGACGAATTGAAGTTAACCGAATTGCAATTCATTTTGGTTTCGGGTTTCTGGTTTCGGCCTTTCCGAATTTCTTGTTTTCTGGAAATCTGGCCTTTAGGAAGATTTATCCGGCTTTTCACTGCGTTAGGCAGAGTGGAAAATACTGTAATTGTGATTTTCTAAATCTTAATGATAAGTACAGGCCACATTTTAATGCTAGTAAAATTCGACTTTAAAGTGACCCAACTATGTCGTTCGGAGGGACAGTTAGCAACTGTATTCAGGTGTTATGTTACACGTGGCGATTTCCGATGCAACAACAAAACCAGAGATTATCTAAAAAAAGAATCGTTACTGAGTAAGGTAATTTTGTGAGAAGGTTGCCTATCTTCGACAATTAATGGCTAAAATGTCATTGAAAAACTATTAAAAGTGAAAAGTGAAGAGGTTGCGAATACTGTGGCTCAATT